TCCTATGTGTCTAGGAGTTGGTCTTCTCATTTAATGTGTTGCAGGGGTTCTCTGAATCCCTTGTGTTTGACTGGTTGCATCATTGATGAGATGAGGGAAGTTTTCTTATATGATTTCATGGAATGTTTGTTCCAGGGAGATCTCTGTCTATCTATCTGCCTTGGGGATTCTAATTAATCTTAGGTTTGGCCTCTTGAAATAATCTCCTCTTGGATGTTTTGTTCTGTCTTTTTAAGCTTCTTTTCTATGTTTTTAACAGTTGGGGTTAGTTTTATATTTTGGTCCTCAAGCTCTGAGATTGTTTCTTCTGCTTGGCTAATTCTGCTTTCCATGCTTATCAGTTTGTTATATATTTCATTCACTGTATTCTTTATTACTGTTATCTCAGCTATCAGCTCCTTCATCCTTTCCTCTTGTCTCTACTCAAGTCTATTTATTCTCTCTATTAATATCTTGATATCTGGGTTTGTGGTTTGAGACCATTTTGAAGGCTCCTCATTGTTTACATTCCAAAGTCTGTATTCTCAGTGTCTGACCTCCCAGGGGTCTGTGTGAGATCCATATACTTCTTTTGGTTTTTATTCATTTATGTGGACTCCCCTTCCCCTTTTTTAACCTCTTCTTTAATTCTGTTGTTCAGGGATGGGTGGTAGCTTTTACTTCTTTATTGCTCAATCTCTTATTCTTCCTTATGTGAATCCTCTGGCTTTGTTCAATTCTGAATCTGGACTGTGGGTTGAGGTCTGTACTTTTTGCAGTTTTGAGATTTCATTAAGGGGGAAGCTGTGATTCAGAAACTATTTGCAGATCCCAGTATCCACTGACAGGTATATGGATCCCTTGGAACTCACTTCCCACTGCCTTACAATCTGTCCATGCAGTGGGGGTGTGGGCTTACTCCCTGAAAGCACATTGAGGTAAGAAAAAGGAAAAGAATGGGAAAAGGAAGGAGGGGGATGAGAGGAAAGTGGGGAGAGAGAAAAATAAGATGGAAAACAGACAGGCATACCAACTGACAAATGAAAAGAGACACAAAGACAAAAGATTAAACAAACTAAAACCTGCAGACAATCATACAAACACACAAAACAACGAAAACCCTCCATTGATGTACTTTCCCTTCAAAAATACCCATACACAAACAAGAAGTCTAAAAAAACAGTAATAAAATAATAAGAACAAAGCAAGTACAAAAACGTAATCAAAACAGAGAGAAAAAAAACTAAAACAAAAAACCAAACAGAACAAGCAAAACAAACATACAAACCAAAAAAATAAAACTCTCTCTGAGGTTGTTCCTGTAAGTTCAACTTCCTTTCAGCTCTGATCTCTAGCCCCTCCCCTCTGCTCTCAGCTAGGCTGATAGGGTTTCTCTCAGCATGGATCAGATGCCCCAGGCCTACTGTGGGAGAAGAGTGGATCAGATCTGGATTCACCCAGCTTGCTGCCTGTCAGTTCTCCCACTCAGATCTGATGTTTCTGCATCCAATCCAGCATGGGGTAGGGGCTTCTGTCTCTCTGAGTTTGATGAGATTACCCCTAGGTCCCAAGTTGGAGGCTGGGTGGAGCTGGGTGGGGCGATGCAGGTGATACAGAGAAAATGACTCCAGTTGGTGTTTCCTCACTGGTGGTGGGGCTCCTCTCCAGTTCTCCCCGATCTTCTCTCTCCAAGGATTGGATCCAAGACTCTATCCACTTTGCTGTCACAGTTGATGGTGTGGGCTAAGTGCCAGGTGATGAGAATCAGCTGTATTCAGCAGGCTCTTCTCAGGAGAGTCCCGAGAACAGCAGACAATCCTGTGTGCTGGTGGCTACAATCTCAGGGTGGTGGGGGGTTACAGCCATCTCTGGAGGAGAGCCCCAGGTGCATGAACCCAAGTCTCCCCTCGGACATACTTTCACTCACCCACCAACACACACTCACTCATGCAGAGAGTCTTTATGGACACTTGCTTTTGTGGAGACTCTCACAGACTGACCTGTTCTGTTGCCATCTTGCTGGAAATCCTATTTCAGATATTTAACAAGACTTCATTTGGTCTAGCATTTACACTATTTAGATAGCATAAATGCTTATTTGCATGACTTAAGTAGATAGATGCAAGAAGTAGTTATCTTGTCACTGATTATGAAATCGTTAAAGAGAATGATTATTACTGATTACCTCTTTGCATTTTGAATCAAAAACCCAAATTCCATAAAAATTAAGTGTTCCTAGAACTATTCAGAAGTGTGTTTTTGTGTAGTGACATAATTACTAGCAGGCATTCATAGCCATTTACTAGATGATGTGCCCTTAAGTATAATTAATCAATATAATTCTTATACTTTTGGATTTTTATATTCTTTTCAGAGATCCCTGATTCTTATTTCTTTTCTTTGTTTTAAGAAACTTTTTTTTTTTTTTTTTAGAGTTGGAGTGTCACTCAGTTGCCCATGCTGGAGTACAGTGGCACACTCACCACCAACCCAGCCATGACCTCTTGGGCTCTCGTGATTCTTCCACCTCAGTCTTCCAAGTAGCCAGAACTACAAGTGTGCACTACCACTCCTGGCGAAGTTTTTGATTTATTGTAGAGACAAGGTCTCACCATGTTGCCCAGGCTGGTCTTGAACCGATAGGCTCAGGCATTCATCTTGTCTTGGCCTCCCAAAGTCCTGGGATTACAGGCTTGAGCCACCACACCCTGCTGAAACTTTGCTTTTTGAGTCAGTGTATTACTGTCATCCAGGCTGGAGTGCAATGGCACAGTCATAGCTACCACAGCCTTGATCTGCTGGGCTCAGACTATCCTTCCACCTAAGCCTTCCAAGTTGCTGGAACTACAGGCATGTGCCACCATGCCTGGATAATTTTTTTTTTTAATGTAAGATGAGTTTTTACCATGTTGCCCAGGCTGGTCTTGACCTTCTGGGCTCAGGCAGTCCTCTCACCTCAGTCTCCCAAAGTGCTGGGATTACAGGCATGAGGCACTGTGCCTGGCCAAGAAACTTTTTTTGAAAAATTCTATTTATTCATTTATTCAACAGTTCTATATTTAACTTCTACTATATGTTTGAGGAACAGAGTTAGGCCAAATCTGTTATAAGTGAACAAGACAGATAAAGTTTCTGCTGTTAGAATTAAGGGTAAGCCGGGCTCGGTAGCTCAGCCTGTAATCCCGCGTCTTTGGGAGGCTGAGGTGAGTGGATTGCCTGAGTCCGCGGGTTCGAGACCCGCCTGGGCAGTGAGACCTCATCTCTACAATAAATCAAAAAATCAGCCAGGCGTGGTAGCGCATGCCTGTAATTCCGGCTACTCAGAAGGCTGAGGTGGAAGGATCTCTGGAGCCCAGCAGGCGAGGCTGCGGTGGCTGGGAGCGGCCACTGCACTCCAGTCTGGGCGACAGAGTGAGACTCCAACTCAAAAAAAAAAAAAAAAAGAATTAAGGGTAAATAATTAAGGGATAAATAGACGCTTACCCATTTAACCAATGTTTACTGACTGACTGCCTACCATGTGCTAGGCATTGCTCTGGGAATTGTGGTTACAGTAGTAAAAAGTAATAGAAGTTCATACCCTCTCTTAGCTTACAGTCTAATAGAAGAATAACAGAATAAGAAAGGAAGGCTAACTGTATAAAAGACTGATCAGGAAAGGCCTATCTATGAAAGTGTCATTTGAATTGAGAACTAAAGGACGAGAAAGAACCAAAGGAAAAAACTATTTAAGACCAAACAACAATTACCAGAATAGGAACAAATTCATCATGTTTGATGCACATCGGTTTGTAGTTTTCAAGATGGTAATATTATGGAATTTACTAATGCTTTTGGTTTTTTTAAATTAATTATAAAGTGTAGGTATCATTTGTGAAGTTTTGTGAGAGAGAGTGGATAGCAAAGAGTGAACAATTTGAGGACAGATATCACAGCCAGATAGAAACTCCAGAGAAAAGAGAATATACAAACCACAGAAATGCATGAGGGTTGCTGGGCAGTGTTAAAAGTCTACTTGTAGCTTTGTTATCTTGAGTTTAAAGTGAAACTAGTCAAAATGGTTGTGTGGTTTTTTCCAGCTTTGAGAGATGTGAAGGAGGTGTAGGATTTAACCAGAGTTGTTTTTTCCTCAAGAGAATGTGGAGAAAGAGAGGAAAAGAGTGTTGAGGACATTTGCAAAGAAGTCACAATAATACAAATTATAGAGTCCATGGTAGGGAGGGAGAAATGGGTAGGGAATCAAAACTGAAGAGGGCTGATGGACCCAAAGAAAGTAGATAAACAATAAATTGGTGGTGTGAATGAGGTTGGAGAGTGTTTAGAGGAAGTGACATATGAACTGGGACAAGTAGGTGTTAGCGGTAGGAAGAGATGGTGTCTAATAAGACCCTTAAGCAAGAAAGAACTGACCAAAGAAATTCAGAGTAGCTGGATCATTGTATATGAGAGACGAAGTGTTACGAGACGAGACTAGGAAGTTAAGCAAGGGCCATATTTTAGATGAGACTAGGAAATTAAGCAAGGGCCATATTTCAAAGAACCTGAAGGAGATTTCATCTTAAAAGCAATGGAGAGGACCCACTAATGAGTTTTACGTAGAGACGTGACATAAAATACAAATCACTTATAAAGTATTGAATTTTCTTAAATGAGGAAGTTGAATTTTATCATCTCTAAGGTACATTCTGAAATTCTTTGTTTCATTGTAATACCTGTGTATAAAGAAGTAAACAAAAAATGATATAACTATATCTCTTATTTTAATATTAAAATAATTAATGACAATATGGGGCTAGATTAAACATAGAAATAAAGCCTTGCTTAGAAAGCATTATTAAACTCATTAATCTGTTTGCAAATGAGAATTGAAATTAGATTTTATATGACTCTGAAGTATGTTTGGTTACTGTTGTATATTTTCTATCTTATCAGTGGAAATATTAGATAATTTCCCATGAGTTTATGTGTGCCATTTAATATCCTCAGTCAAATGTAGATGAAACTGTACTTTTTCCTTCTAGGAATTTAAACCTTTGAGATGTTTCCATTAATTGGAAAAACAATCATCTTTGATAACTTTCCTGATCCTTCTGATACATGGGAAATCACTGAAACAATTGGCAAAGGCACTTATGGGAAAGTTTTTAAAGTTTTGAATAAGAAAAATGGCCAAAAAGCAGCAGTCAAAATTCTGGATCCAATTCATGTAAGTCACATTTTCTTTCTAATTAACTTTGTTTTTATCTGTATTAAGCAGTTAAAAAATCTATAAGTATCTTTTTCTTTTTTGAGTTGGAGTCTCACTCTGTCACCCAGGCTGGGAGGGCAATGGCACGCTCCCAGCCACCACAGCCTTGACCTGCTGGGCTCCGGCGATCCTTCCACCTCAGCCTTCCAAGTAACTAGAACTACAGGCGCGCACTACCACATCCGGCTAGTTTTTGATTTATTGTAGAGATGAGGTCTCGCCAAGTTGCCCAGGTGGATCTCTAACCCGTGAGCTCAGGCAATTCACTCACCTCGGCCTCCCAAAGCGCGGTATTACAGGCTGAGCCACCGAACCCGGCCCTTTTTTTTTTTGAGTTGGAGTCTCATTCTGTCACCTAGGCTGGAGTGTAGTGGCAAAATCACAACCACTGCAGCCTCGACCTGCTTGACTCAGGTGATCCTTCTGCCTCAGCCTTCCATGAAGCTGTAACTACAGGTGTGCACCACGACACTCAGTTAATTTTTTGATTTATTGTAGAGATGAGGTTTTGCCAAGTTGCCCAAGCTGTTCTCGAACCTGTGGGCTCAGACAGTCCTCTCACCTCAGCCTCCCAGAGTGCTGGGATTATAGGTATGAGCCACTGTGCCTGGCTTAAGTCTATAAGTATCTTATTTTGATTTGCTCATCACAGTGCATTCTTACACAGGTTACAATTTGAAAAAAAAATGTACCAGGCTTGGTGGCTCAGCCTGTAATCCCAGCGCTTTGAGAGGCCGAGGTGAGTGGATTGCCTGAGCCCACGGGTTCGAGACCCTCCTGGGCAACTTGGTGAGACCTCATCTCTACAATAAATCAAAAAATTAGCTGGGTGTGGTAGCACACACCTGTAGTTCCAGCTACTTGGAAGGCTGAGGTAGAAGGATTGCTGGAGCCCAGCAGGTCGAGGCTGTGGTGGCCGGGAGCATGCTACTGCACTCCAGTCTGGGCAACAGAGTGAGACTCCAACTCAAAAAAAAAAAAAAGTAAAAGTCTACTTGTTTGATTTTCCTGCTTTATGTGCTTACCATATATTATAAGGCACAATAAGTACTTGATAAATGAATTAATAAGTGTATAAGTTCATAAATAAATGTAATAAGGTGATTCAAAATTACTTTAGATTTCAAAAATCTGTGAAAATACACTCATGGATCTAGAAGTAACCCTAAAGTATCATCTTAACCCTATAATATCATCTTAAATTCTACTTTTCTTTCTGCATTTATTTAGACTTCAAGCAGAATTTCTCTTAAGCCAAACTGAAGAGAGTTTTTAAAAAATTAAATTTCTTTCAGAGAGGGAAATTAATTTTCAGGTTTGCTTAAATGTTTTCAATGGCAAAATGGTGTGGATTTATAATGAGCATGAGATTGTCTCATTATGAAGAATTGAGTTTTACTTTCAGTTTTGCTGGTCTATGCTTAAGTGAAACCATAATGGGTGTCCCCTTATTGCTTTTTTGTGGGTAACAGTTGTGATAAGGGAAACTACCAATCCTTTTCTCAGGAGACTGCTGAGATTCTATGGTTTGGAAATAAGGGCTGGGACTTTTGAAATACCTTCAGGCTGCTGGGAGATACTTTGCTCTCCTGTAGCACAGGGGTGAGCCAAAATGAGCTCAGTAACCACATACTCCCCAATTTCTATTAAGAGCAACTTCTCTAATTACAAGACTCTTGCACATGTGATGGGAACATGGCAGGATGGAAATGATAAAATGTATTTGGAGAGAACATCCAAGTCCTAGATCCTTATCACAGCTTACCCACTGACAAACTGTAAGACAGTTCAAAAGGATCTGTGAGTCTCTGTTTGTTCATCTTAGAATTGCACTTTCTTTTTTGATAGTTTATTTTCACTAAACCCATTATAACTACACTATTCCATATTATTTTGAGTAGAGGAGAAGGGGGGTAGTCTTAAATGAGGAAAAAAATGAGAAGCATTGTGCTCAGGCTTAACTGATGCTGAAGGTCTTCACATTCCTCTATTGGAAATTTCTAACCATTTAAACTGAAGGAAGAGAGGCACAAGTTAAATTTTACCAAAAGGACTTTACATCTCTTTCCTCTAACTTTTGCTTTTAGGGATTGGGATGTGTGGCAGCAAGAGAAAGGACTTCAGCTTGATCCCGTTGTCAGGCCTCATTGTTAGTGTGTCTCTCCTCTTCCCTTCCTTCTTGATAGAGAGAAGAAATGGCTTATGATACATTACCCATTATTCTTTCATAATTTACTTATGTGTGGTGTACTTACAAACCTTATAAATCATGTTTGGTACTATTACTTTAATGAAATATTGATTTTATAACTATAGTACTTAAATTTGTTATTTTGCTTTTATTCTTGTCACAATACTTATGTTTTCCTAATAAGTATTTATTTATTCTTCATTCATCTTGCAAGTCAAATAGAAAAAATATATAGCTAAGAGATTATAATCTTAAATATATTTAAAAGCATCTAAGCATTTTACAAAGATTTTTAAAAATTAAATTATTCTTGGATGGGTCATTGGTACTTTGGGAGGCTAAGGCAAGTGGATTGTATGAGCTTTCAGGTTCAAGATCAGCCCAGATAACTTGGCGACAACTTGTCCCTACAATTAAAAAAAAAATTAACCAGACGTGTTAACACGCACTTGTAGTTCCAGCTACTTGGAAGACTGAGGTGGAAGGATCACTGAAGCCCAGCAAGTCAATACTGGGGTGGCCGAGTGTGCCACTGCACTCCAGCCTAGGCGACAGAGTAAGACTCTGACTCAAAAAAAAAAAAAATTAAATCAGTCTTACTATTATGTATTTTTCATTAGTAGTTTTTTTCTCTAAGGGGCATTAAATGAGCAATATTGAAGGTAGACTTGAAGTCTATACCTGGATTTTACAATAACACACTCTGACTGTGATATCTCTGAACTTGACTTTCTGCCTTCAAAAATTAGAACTCAGGCTTAAATTTATTTCTATCTCAGTGATTTCATGATTCTGTGGTAAAACAACATAGACATTAAGTGTCACTGTAAAATCAGTATTGGTAAAGCTCTCTCTTATTTACTACTCTGAATTGTTTCACATATATGTGATTTTCTAGAAAGATGAGTAAGTGGCTATCTTGCATTTTTATTGATAAGAGAGCAACTTATTCTACTTCTGGTGAATGAGCTTTTGGTTCACTAAAGGTTATATGCCATCTATATAATTTAACTCTGTTTTACTTTTTTTTGAAAAGTGGGAATTTATGGTTTGTATGACTGGTTTTGGGATAACATCCAAATCATGTCTTCCAAAGAAACAAAATGAACCAGATTACTAATCCTAAAAGTATTTATTTAAAGTCAATGGCTTTGCCATTGTGACAAAGTTAGTAATATAAAAAAAAGCAAACTTATGTGGAGTAGTTCTCTATAGATTTTTTTTCTAATTGCCTATAAAAATAGACCATTATTTATCCCTTTTAAAATCCCCTGAAATTAATATTGCTTAAGATACATTTGATTAGCATAAAATCACAATATCCTCTCTTAAACAGTTGGAGAAATTTCAGTACATAGTATATGCAGAATAAAAGCTATCATGACCTTGCTTTGACAAAATTAGATTCTTTATTTGATAGTCTATTTGCCATTCTTTGCCATTATTCATACTTTTCTAACAGTTTTCTTTTTATGACTTTTTGAAACTAGGATATTGATGAAGAGATTGAAGCAGAGTATAACATCTTAAAAACACTATCTGACCATCCTAATGTGGTCAAGTTCTATGGAATTTACTTTAAGAAGGACAAAATCAATGGAGATAAGCTGTGGTTGGTTCTTGAAGTAAGTGCTTCAATGTTATTTGCATGGGTGGATTGTAGTGTGGTTCTGAAATGACTTACTATTTATGTATTGTCAACACCATAAAACAATTGTAGTAAGTTCCCGATCTGTCATATCCTCAGTAGAATGCTGTGCCTAGTTCTGGACTTGTCATATTAAGATACACATCAGGAAATTAAAATTACAAAGACTACTACAGATTAAAAGGAGATGACTCCACAATAAAAGATTAAATAAATTGAGATTATTTTTTCCTTCAGAAAAACAAGTTAAAAGAGATTTCATTATAATATTTATTTATTCACCTATATTTTGTTTAGTTAACATGTGACTGAGGCTCTGTGCCAGGTACTCGGATATAAGAGAAAATTAATGTTAAGTGAGGCTTCATTAGAACAAATAGTGAGCTGTGATTTTCTGTCTTTATTGAATGCTAATGACTTAAACTACAGAACCAGATTTTGTTTTGTTTTGTTTTGTTTTTGAGTTGGAGTCTCACTCTGTTGCCCAGACTGGAGTGCAATGACTGCTCCCAGCCACTGCAGCCTCGACCTGCTGGGCTCCGGCGATCCTTCCGCCTCAGCCTTCCAAGTAGCTGGAACTATAGGTGCGTGCTACCACACCTGGCTAATTTTTTTGATTTATTGTAGAGATGGGGTCTCGCCAAGTTGCCCAGGTGGGTCTCGAACCCACGGGCTCAGGCAATCCACTCACCTCAGCCTCCCCAGGTGCGGGATTACAGGCTGAGCCACGGAGCCCGGCTGGGAACCACATGTTTACATTTATGGGGAAGAAAACTTACTAAAAATAGTGTAGATACTGAGTATGTTGCCAAAGAGAAGTAGAGTCTGTCTTTTTAAGTCCCAAGAGTAGGTTTTATTTGTTTGAACAGTCCTCTCTAAGGCAGGAATACTAGGAGGTACTTTACCAAGACTTCAAGCCCTAAAAGAATTCGATTTTTCTGATTTTCATTGAACATTATTTTTTAAGTGAAGTAATTGTTAATTCTAATAAGATCTATTAGAATTTTTAAAAGTTGTTTTGTGTCAAACTCAACAACAGTAAACACCTTTGACTACTGTAACAGCATGTACTTATTGTGCTCAGTGGCATTTTATTAGCATTTGACTATTTCTTTTTTAATGTTCCATTGGTTTTCCTGAAGTGGCACTGTCTTAATTTCGTTGTACTGCTATAACAATAAAACACAGACTGGGTAATTTATAAAGAAAAGAAATTTGTTTCTCACAGTTCTGGAGGCTGGAAAGTCTAAGATCAAGGAACCCACAGATTCAGTTGTCTGGTGAGGCCTGCTCTCCATTTCCAAGATGGTACCTTTTTGTTGCATCCTCTGAAGGGAAGGAATGCTGTGCCCTTACATGGCTGAAGGCAGAGGGCAAAAGTATATGATGTTGCATGAAGTCTCTGTAATCAGACTCTTAATTCCATTCATGAGGAAGGACCTCTCATGGCATAGTTATCCCCTAAAGACCTCATGTCTTAACATTATCACATTAGGCATTAAGTTTCAATACCTGAAACACATTCAAAACATAGCAGGAATAATACTTATGTATAAATTATATTATTTTATACTTTATATTCATATTTTTTCTATTACGTTTTTAAGTGATTCTACAAATAATTATTGTAGAAAATACTTGAAGGTATTAAAAACACTATTAACATTTAACATATTTGCTTCATATTTCTATGTTCAAAATGGTTTGCAATATTACTTATGAAATTATCCTACCTTTTCACCTAATAAAATTTCAGATAGACTTCATCATTGATATCTTTTTGAAAGTAAATACATTCTACATTCACTTGGTTAATAGAAAGCAGATAATACCAAATTACTGATAAGATAAAACAATAAACATGTAAGTCCAGTTTAGCAGTGCCAACTTCTCTTGAACAAGTCTGCACTTTTGACGTATTGTGATTGCTGTACCTGGAAAAGAATGGCTGAGCTTCTGTACTATCTCATTTAGTAATCCATGCTCTTAATTTTAACAAGATTGTCAACTGCATATTAGGGACTCTATGAATGCCATGCATCTGACCTCTTTGGTATCATTTTGCTGCTCACTTAGGTGAAACCCACTGACTCCTAGATCCCATGGCCTTTTCTTTCCAAGTTTATGTTTTTATTTTGCACATTATGTAGTAATATGTGCCTCACTCCCATTTTCCACTTTGCTAATGTTACCAAGCCTTGAATTCTTCCAATTCAGTTTCTGTAGGGAACAAAATTTCTCATCTCTTAATCTGGAGGTACATTTGTGAGGAGTACTCAGACAGACTCCTTGATGTTGATGTTTTGTATGTGGGATAAGAAGGTGTTAAATGTTTTGACTAGAGACTTGCTATGTTGCTTAGTCTGATCTCAAACTCTCATGCTCAAGCTATCCTCCCTTCTCAGCCTCCCAAAGTGCTGGGTTATAGGCGTGAGCCACTGCACCTGGCCTGATTTCTTGTTTTCTGCCCCTCTCCTTTCAACTGCACTTCCACCTCCATTAGTCCCTAGCACAGTCTGGATTAATCTGCTCAGATGATCTGAAAATAGCCTCACCAAGTGTTCTAGTTTGTGGCTTCCTTTGCATTGCTAAGTCAGTTACCACTTGCTTATCTGCTTTCCATTTTGCAAAATTTTGCTGAAATTTTTTGCCCACTTCTCTCCCTTTTTGCTGTCCTTTTTAAACTTACTGTTTGCTAGCATTTTAATGGAAATCCATGGGTAGGAGGAAATAAATTTATGTGTTTCATCTACCACCTTTCATTATGATAAGGAGCCTTTCAAAATGTAAAATTGTGTTGTCAAGAACTTTTCATCATCTGGAAGCTGTATAGCATATTATTTTACAAAGTTTTAAAATGTTTTCAATAGCTATTTGTGTCCTTTAAAAATAGACTATTTATTTATGATTTCAGAATTATAGTTGACCCTTGTACAATGTGGGGACTGGGGGCACCAACCCCTCATGCAATCAAAGATCTGTGTATAACTTTTGACTCCCCTAAAATTTAATAATAGCTTACTGTTGAACAGAAGCCTTAATGACAATATAAACAGTTGATTAACCCATATTTTGTATGTTATATGCATTAGATACTACATTCTTAAAATAAGCTAGAGAAAAAAATGTTGTTAAGAAAATTATAAGGAAGAGAAAATATATTTACTATTCATTAAGTGGAAGTAGATCATCATAAAGGTCTCCATCCCTATTGTCTTCACACTGAGTAGTCTTAGCAGGAGGAGGAAGAGGAGGGGCTAGTCTTGCTGTCTCACAAGTGGCACAGGCTGAAGAAAATTGGCATGTAGGTGGACCTGCTCAGTTCAAACCCATGTTGTTCAAGGGTCAACTGCATTTTATATTTCTCTAATTTAAGATAGCTTTATATTTTTAGTTAAATCACATATAAGAGCAAAGTTAAACTTTTGCTCATCTAAACCTAGTTGCCCAAATAATAGAATATAAATGATGAACTTAAACCTTTTTTTGCCAAACATTAATGGAGAATTTTAGAATTTATGTTATGTTTGTGTATTTGAGATGTAATGTTGTGCAAGTCCTTGATGTAGTCTTGAATAGTTTTTTGTATTTATATACTTCAAAACATTTTAATAATGCATTTAAAATTTTTCTTCCATGTAAAATCTTTGGCAGATTATCATTTAAATGGAGATTCAGGTGTTCTGCTGAATGTAGGCCTAAATGGGTAAGGAAAATAAGATATAAATGTTTGCCCAGAACATAGAAATATTGAATGGGATCAGTCATTGTCTTTTACATTTATCAAATTCTTATTCTAATATCTTGGCATTTCTCAGTATTGTCACCTGGAATTAAGTGAGAGATGGAAACTCCTGATCATAGTTAAATTTATTTTTGAGAAAGCAGAAAAGATTTATTAAAATGGTTTTGGAATATCCAGTACAAGTAAAGCAGCATCTTGATATAATGAATCAGGAGTCTTAACAGTTTCTTTAAACTCTGTCCTTGTATTTTATTATCAGATGGAGAATTGGAAATATCCCTAAATGACTTGAAAAAATGTAGTTTAATAAAATGATATTTGAGAAATCTGATCTATTTGAACTTACAAACTGAGAGGAAAAGGCATAAAGAAAGCAAGAAGTTGGCAAACTGTATAAGATAGTTGATTTTCATATGTAAATTAGACTAATTGTATATACACATAAGTGGCTAGATATACAATTACCTGATTTATAAAAATGAATGGTGCAGGTGCTGCTTTAGAGACACTTTCAGAAATTTGGCTTGTGACATCAATACTTTGTACTACAAAATGACTGCTAATTATATGTCTTATCATAATAAAGTCTAAATAAATTATTTTGCATGAGGATACCAAAAGGGGGGCAGTGGCTGTGATGTTACCCAGAAAGTCATGTTGACAACACTAGGCATTTAATGCGAATGTTCACAAAGAAGGTGTGTACTGGAGGGTGTGTGTCTAAGCAATGAGTGGCAATCCTCATTCTAAGCCTGGCATGTGGGGAAGGCTAGACTAGCCTAGACAAACTCCTGTGAAATGACTTATCGCCATGAAAGAAAAATCATTTTACTTATATTTCAATATAGAATTGAAATCCTAACAACAATGTTTTCCCAAATCTTGCTGGGCAGTCTGTTTTCTCTAGTTGTGATTTTTGAATTATTTCTTTTACTTTTTGATAACATTTTTCTATTTCTTATATTTTTCCTTCAGTTTGTTATTGGATATTTTTTGAGCATGAATGATATGCAAGACTCTGCTTAGAAATTATTTCCATCTTAATTTCATTTTTAGACTGTAAATGTTGCCCCGGGTTAGTAAAAAAGTACTAGTTGCAGGCCTTCTGAAATTCCACTTCCACACTTAAATGAAGTTTTATGCTGTGGAAACTATTTGTTTTTTTACAGAATATCTATGGAGATTTTTACTGTCACTTAATATCTTAGGTTTGTCTAATGATATAGGCATAAAAGGAGAACTGATATTTTCTGTTTGTTTTCACTTATGCCTCATTTTGAAACACCTCATGTATATTCCTTTCTTCCCATTGCCACCACACCTTTGACTGACCAGTTTAGTAAGATATAGGTATGTCTTTTTACTTTGTACTTCCTTTAACCCCTAGTGTCTACTGTTGAAGGTCAGTATATAGGAAGGGCGGGTGTGGGGAAGAACTGGGAAACTGAGAGTTGGATCAGGATTCTGCATAACCTCCAGCATGGGGAGACCAAAAAACAGTGTCAAAATTGAGTTCAGTCAGTCTTGTCTAAAGCATTTGCTACTGATGAACACAAAGGGAAGAACTGAGATTTAACTGTAATTTTACCCTTCTTGGTTAGGTGAATGACCACATTTTAAGTATGTAAGGAAATCTAGACTTCTTTCTCAGGAGCTATTTGCTTAGTGTACCTTCAGCTATAATGTAACCAAAATTCAGAGTTAGGGCATCTTCCTGTTGAAAGACCATTTCTTTCATAATCCAATTTTAGCTATAATTATTCCTTTCACGGTGGTGCTATACACTGCATTCTGTTATTCATCTGAATTGGTCCTGATTTGTTCATTCTTAATAGTGACATTGCTTTTTATTTTTGCGTCCCAATTACAGCGATTTTTCTCTTTGAAATTATATCCCTTTCAGGAGATCAAAGACTGGCAATTACAGGTGGTATTTGAAAGTATAAAAATTCAGTAAATAGTCATAAAGCCTCTCAAATGCATATTTTAGGTCATTGAAGTGGCATTCATAGATATAAATACTACTCTCATGTGTCATACATTATTGGTTTTTCTGTTGCTATACTTACATCTAATAAGTAATATAAGGCCTGTCATGAAGAAAGGAATCATGGGGTGACAGAAAGATGAGTCAGAATGAATGTGTGCTTTCTGGTTTGGCGTAGTGGCTCACGCCTGTAATCCCAACATTTTGAGAGGGTAAGGCAGAAGGATTTCTTGAGCCCACAAGTCTGAGACCAGCATAGGCAACATAGCAAGACCTTGTCTCTACAAATATCAACAAATTATCTAGGCATGGTGGTATGTGTCTGTAGTCCCAACTACTCAGGAGGCTGAGGTGGAAGGATCTCTTGAGCCCAGGAGATCAAGGCTGTGGTGAACCATGATTGTGCCACTGCACTCCAGCCTGGGTGACAGATTAAGACCTCAACTTTAAAAGAAAAATGTGTGCTTTCTATTTGTTCAACTATTAACCCTTTACTGTTTCTGCCCTGGAGGTAACATGTACATAGAAAGGAACATAAGCCTTTGCAGCCTTGTATATTTGTGAGGGATCAGGAGAAGCAGGGCAGAAGTGGGCGGTGGGCTTTAGGTTCCCTGATAGCACAGCATCATCATTCCTTCTTCCTTTTGGCAGCTTACAGTCTCAGTGGAGTAGCAGACTGATGGCATGTTTTGTGTTCTTAGGGCTGGAACAAGCTTTCCTAGCTCTCATATAAAAGGCTGTTATTTGGTGTACTTGTAATGGAACAGTCAGTTACCAAGAGTTGTTTCGTTTTGTTGTTGTTTAAAAGGCAAGATGGAAGAACAGTCTCAATGTACTTCTTTATACTTTTTTAACCTAGGAAATATATAAAGATTATACATATCTCTTGTTATGTTTTTCTTCCCTAATTGTATTTCAGTGCTCACAAAAGCATCTACTTCTCTGAATAGGAGTGCAGGTTTATAGATAACTTCAGAGATAAATAAATATGATGTGGCCAGAGATATTTTGCTGTTTAACAAATTAGTAGATTTTGATTGTACACACTAAAATATTTATTCTTATAAGTTATTTTCTCTTTGTTATCATAGGTTTCTTATTGACAGCATTGCCAATGTGTGATAGTGTTTTCCTAAGAATTTAAAAATATTTTAGGGTAAAGAAATTGTTTTATGTTTTAATTTGGTGTTTTCATAATTATATACAGTTACCAAACTACAACAAACTGCATACCTAAAAGAGTCAATTATATTATCTGTCAATAATACCTTTAAAATACTGTTTCTAGTTTACATATTAGAAAATCAATGGGAAATTTTTACACATTACAAAAGTACTCATTGGAAAACATCTGTTTGGAGATGGTCCCAGTTTTCATTAATGTTTGGTTCATTAATGTATTTTACTGAAATTAAGTCAAACATGTCACACTTGAAGATGTACCTTCCATACCATGTGACTGTGTGTGTGTGTGTGTGTGTGTGTGTGTGTGTGTGTGTGTGTGTGTGTGCATGTATAAGTTTAGAGAATAAGTTTACCTATCCAGTCCTTTATTTACCTTGTAAATAATGATCTCTTACTTTGGACCAGCCATTTTGAAAGGTTTTTAGCATTCAGTAGAGAATGAGACAACCTTTGTCATTATGGAACTTACTGGCAATGTGGTGGGGAAAGATAATTTACAACTAAATAAGCAATTTACTACTTACATATTTTTATTAGTGCTATGAAGAATATAAATAGGTATGTTAATAGAAAATGAAAGAGAAGAACTTTGATGAAAAGAGTAGCCAAACAAGGCCTGTCTGAGAAGGTAGTGTTTCAATCTGCTACTTGGAAACAAAACAAAAACAATAAATAGTTTTAGTATCTTTATTCTTTGAAATATTTTTCAAGCTAGCTCCTTCCATCTTGAACCCCCTGAAGCAAAACTGTAATTTTTGGAATGCAACATTACTTAGTATTCTAACCTCCATTGTAATTGCAGTGTAAGAATAGTGAGGGTATGGGTTGGAAGATATAATATTTAAATAAATAATGAGTAAACATCTTCTAAATTTGATGAACACTAAAAAACTGTAGAAGCTCAAAAATTCCCCAAGTATGATAGACAAAGAACCCCCTGAAAAGAACCACACTAAGATATGTCATAATAAAAACGCTGAAAACTATTAATAAAAGATTATAAAAACAGCAAAGAAAAAAGACTCATTACATATATGGGCCACAGAGGTGCTCACTGGTTTGTCATCAAATGCAATGGAACGATATCTTTAAAACATTGAAAGAAAAGTGGTCTCAGAATTCTGTATCCAAGAACAATATTAATCATAAGTGAAGACAAAATAAAAATAGACATTTTTATCAAATGAAAAAATAAGCAATTTACCACCAGGGACCTGTACTATAAAAAATGTCAAAGAACATTTTTCAGACTGAAGGAAGATAATTCCAGGTGGAAATCCAGATCTACAAAAGGAATAAAGAACACTATCCATAGTCAATATAAAGGTAAATATGAAACTTTTGATTTCCTATTTTTTAGTCTCTTCAGAAGTGTCTAAAGTCATAATAATAACTGTATATTATGGGGCTATAGCGTATGTAGTACTAAAAGGTAGACAATAATCACAAAAGGACAGAAGTGGAAAATTGAAAGTAGAGTAGTACCCCTCATCTAAGGTTTCACTTTCTGCAGTTTCAATTGCCTATAGTCAACCAGGGTACAAAAATATTATAGGTAAAATTCCAGAAGTAAGTAGTTCATACTTTTTAAATTGTGTGCCTTTCTGTGTATCATGATGAAATTGTGTGCCATCCTACTCCGTCCTGCCTAGGCCATGAATCATCCCTTTGTCTAGCATATTCATGATGTATATGCTACCTGCCCATTAGTCACATAGTAGTCCTGGGTTACCAGACTGTTGTATCATGTTGCTTAAGTAACCCTTATTTTACTTAATAATGATCCCCAAACACAAGAGGAATGGTGCTGGAATATTATTATAGTTTTTTAATGTTATTATTAGTTGTTATTAATCTCTTACTATACCTACTTTATAAATTAAATTTTATCTTAGATTTGTATGTGTAGGAAATAACATAGTATATACAGTGTTTGGTACTATCTGTGGTTTCAAGCATTCATGGGGCGTCTTGGAACATATCCTCCATGGATAAACGGGGACTACTATATACAGTTTTAAGTGTCTTACATTGTATGTGAAATAGTGTAATAATTTAAAAAATAGATTGTGATAAGTTAAAAATGAATATTATGAACCCTAAAGCAACCACTACAAAATAAAGAAGTATAGCTAATAAGCTAGTAAAGGACAAAATGGGATACTAAAAATATTCAAACTGAAAGAATGTAGAAAAATAGGAAAAACCGAACAAAGAACAGATAAGACAATTAGGAAACAAATAGCAATATGGTAAACTTAAACCAAACCAAATTTATAATTGCATCAAATGGAAATGGTCTAGAATCTATAATTTAGAGGCAGAAATTGTCAGACTGGGTGAAAGTAGGACCTGATTACAAACACATTTTATTATAAAGACTGACAGATTAAAAGTAAAAAGATGGAATAAGATATACTATTAAAACATTAATTTTTAAAAAGTTGGAGTGGCTGTTTTAATATAAGACAAAGTAACTTCCAGATAAGTAGTATAATCAGAGGCAAATTACATGTCACAATGAATGAAAAGTGAATTTGTTAAGATAAAGCACCCCAA